GGGAGGAAGGAAGAAGCAAGGGAAGTCGAGGCCTCTATTTCTGGAGGCCTGGCTGCTCAGCGCTGGGTCGGGGGTGTTTGGGAGGAAGGAAGAAGCCAGGGAAGTCGAGGCCTCTATTTCTGGAGGCCTGGCTGCTCAGCGCTGGGTGCGGGGGTGTTTCCAGCAGCAGCCCCTCGGCCCCTCCCCGGCTTTCACCGCCGCTGCAAAGAAAGGGGAAGCGAGACTTGGGTGGAAATAGCCCCCAGAAAGCTTGCTGAGACAGCAGCCCTGCCCACCAGCCCCCCCGGCACAGGCTGGCTGGGGCCCCACAGGAGAGCTTGCAACATTTAAAACAAATAAACCATCCATCCGCAGAATAATCCTGATTCTTTCAGTCCTTCTTTCCAAGGTTCTTACTCATGCTAGAAATTTATACTCTGTGAAGACAGAGAAAAAATTACACGGCTGTTATTTGGGAATCAGTCTGATTACACCACTGCAACATGGAGCAGAATTTGACCCAGATAATTTTTGGTTTTGTGTGCCATGCATGTGAGTTCCTCTAAACTCAGGGCTGCCTAAACCAATATAGCAAAAGGTCTGACAACTTGTTCTAATAGGGTCTTTGACATGGTGTTTCCATGTTTTTTTGCTGAGTTCACCAATCACATATTTGCACATGTGCTGAAATACAAGCCTGTATTCTAATGCATGAAGGACTAGTTTGTGCCTTTTTAACACAACCCAAAGTGTTAAAAGATAGCAGGAAGCTATATAGCACCTCCCAGGTAGCGAAGAACCACTGAAGTTTGTTTAAATTCTTTTAAGGTGCATTTTACTCTCTTGGGGGAGGGGTGCCACTTTTTATGTCCACCATTTTGATTTTTCCCTCTGCAGAAAAAAGGCCTTTTCCCAGGCAGGCGATGGGGACAGGGCAGCAGATGGGACTCTGGAGAGGGAAACATCAAAATGGTGGACATAGCAAACAAAAGCCGGCACCCCATGGCCCCCAACGGTGCGAGGGGCCGCCGGCTGGGCTTGCAGGCAGCAGGACGGGGCAGGGTGGGCCACATTCATTCTGTT